TTCTAGTCCCACCTGAAGCATGAAAGCCAGCTGGGTGACTTTGGGCCAATCACCAGGAGACTGAGAGTTCTAGTCCCACCTTGTTGTTGTTGTCGGGAAAATAGGAGGAGGGAAGGAGTATTCCCTGTGTCCGGTGCTTCAAGCGAGTTATAAAGTAATAAAATAGTTTATGTAAAATAAAAATCTAATGCAAATAAATAAATAAAACTGGGAACTCTTTTTTCTTTTTTGGACCCATAAATAAATGTCTCCTGGAATAGTATCGGAATGTGCACGGATTGAGCAATGAGATAATTGCATTCAGAGCATCTGATTCCACATTCTGTGTTTCGAACGTCATTTTACAACTTGGGGAAGAAATTCTGGGCATCTGGCTTTTCAAAACGACAATTGGATTAAAAGTTGGTGGGGCACTGGCGGCTGCCTGCCAAGCGTTGCTTGTTGTATGTGTGTGTGCACTCATTTGTGTTTGTGTGTGTGCACAATGTGGTGCAAGGCGGAAGCCAACATTTTCTTGCTTGGAAAAATCTGGAATAAAATCTCCGCTAAGGATTCCCACCCTTGGCAATCTGGATTCCTACGACAAATTGCTGCAGATTCTAGCTATTCCTTTCCGTGTTTGGGAGATCCAAGCTAGCAAAAACCAAGCTATGCAGCTAGTCCTCAATTTATGACCGCTTTCTGCAAGAAAGCAACCAGACTCAGCACCAAGGACCCCATAGTCCTCCTCCTCCTCTTCTCCCTACAAACCATACTCCCTTCGTGCACTGATGATGTTCCCTAGTTAGGTCATGAGACGTCTGCAAGAAAACCACCAAACTCAGAGAGGACCAGGGATCTCACAGTCCTTCTTCCTCCCGGCTGGAAACATTTAGAAATAGAAATGTGGGGTCTCTGGGATTGGTGGTTTTCCTGCAGACATTTCATGACCCAACTAGGGAACAACATTAGGTCTAGAAGGCAGGGGGATTCTAGGGCCTAGCATTAATCATGTTACCTAGTTGGATGAGGAAATGTCCATAAGAAAACTACCGAATTCAGAAAGCACCAGTGCTGGGATTCAGCCGGTTTGTGAAAACCAGTAGTTAAATTACTGGCTGGTCCCTCCCCTCCCAGGAGTCCCCACGTGCCTCATTTTGGCTCCCAGGTAAGTGCAAGCCAGGGAGGCTTACTAGGCCCAAAATGGGGCACGAGGGTGGGGGGGCTGTTTTCACTTCCAGGAGGCTGCAGGGAAGACACTAGGCCCAAAATTTATTTATTTATTTATTATTTATTAATCAAATTTCTATACCGCCCTACTCCCGAAGGACTCAGGGCGGTGAACAGCCAAGATAAAATACAGATACTACAAATATTAAAAATCCCTTAAAATTATTAAATATTTTGCCGAAACACAGATTAAAATACCCAATTTATAAAATCATGAATTAAAAATTTAAAAGAGGAAAGTTAGGCCAGGCCAGCCTGCTGAAATAAAAAAGTTTTGAGAGCACGGCGAAACGTGCACAGGTCCGGGATCCTCCGTATCTCTGGGGGGAGCTCGTTCCAGATGGTAGGTGCCCCCACAGAGAAGGCTCTCCCCCTGGGGGCCGCCAGTCGACATTGTTTGGCCGACGGCACCCGGAGGAGCCCCTCTCTATGAGAGCGTACCGGCCGGTGGGAGGCTATTGGTAGCAGTAGGCGGTCTCGTAAATACCCCGGTCCGATGCCATGGAGCGCTCTAAAGGTGGTAACCAAAACCTTGAAGCGCATCCGGAAGACCCCCGGGAGCCAGTGCAGCTCGCGCAGGAGGGGGGTCACATGGGAGCGCCACGCCGCTCCCATAACCACCAGCGCGGCCGCATTCTGGACCAGCTGGAGCCTCCGGGTGCTCCTCAAGGGGAGCCCCATGTAGAGAGCGTTGCAGTAGTCCAGGCGGGAAGTAACGAGGGCATGAGTGACCGTATTTAATGAGTCCCGATCCAGAAAGGGACACAACTGGCGAATCAGGCGGACCTGATAAAAAGTCCTCCAGCGTGTCCCCCCCCCGCCCATTTTTGCTCCTAGGGGGGTGCAGGAGGCCAAATGCTGCCTGTCACACCCCTGGCCACACCCACCATGGCCACGCCCACCCAGCTGATCATTAGGGCAGAGAAGCAGTTGTTTAATGATTTGAATCCCACCACTGGAGAGCACCATTGATCGTTGTCATTGTCGTCATCGTCTTCCTCCTCTTCCTTGCAAACCCCATTCCTTTCTAGCACTGATCATGTTCCCTAGTTGGGTCATGAAACGTCTACAAGAAAACAATCAAACTCAGAGAGTACCAAGAATTTCATAGTCCTTTCGTCTCCTCCTCCTCTTCCTCCTCCTCCTCCTCTCTGCAACCCACCCCCTTCTATCCTTGATGTTGGACCCCACAATTGTTGTCCTCCTCCTCTTTCTTTCCCAATTTTTCTTTGGTGGAAGGAGAGAGAATGCTACAGGTAATCCTTGTTTTACGACAGTCCGTTCAGTGACCATTCAAAATTGCAATCGCACCCTCCCCCCAAAAAAGGGGGATGTATCATGTATGACCATTTTTCACACGACATTTGCAGCATCTCCATGGTCACGTGATCAAAATTTGGATGACTGACTCGCATTTATGACAGTTGCCGTGTCGTAGGGTCATGTGATTCCCCTCCCGATAAGCAAATATCAACGGAGAAATCCAGATTCATTTAACAATCGTGCTATGAATATAACTGCATTGCCTCATTTAACAACTGTGGGGAAAAAGGTCATAGAATAGGGCAAAACTCACTTAATGACCTCGCTTAGCAATGGATGTTTTGGGTTCCATTGCGGTCATAAGTCGAGGACGACCTGTCCTTGCGTCCCATGGAAACACATAAGCAAAAAACACAGGATGCCGGCATTAGCTAGAGAGTTCAGCTTTTATTTGGTTTTAAACCGGCAAGTTCCTAGTCCTTATGGCTGCAACCATATAGAGTACAGATTTCGGGGGGGTTGAGTAAGGATTTGAGCAATTTAAGGGGTTCATTGCTCGGGATGGATCGGAGGTAGGAGAAAGCACCCACAGCTTCCCACCCTCTTCACAAAATTCACCGAAGCAGCATAAATTACACGAAACACGGTGGAATAAATTATTAGACAATATAACATCCATTGTGCAAATTCAAAGGGCATGATCCAGCTTGTTATTTATTTATTTATTTAAAAAAAAAAATTCCTCGCAACTTTCTTAATTTCCAGAGTGATTTTTTTTTTTATTTTCCTCCCAAGGTTCCACTTATTATTGCAAGCGGTGGATTTGACCAGAGTTTTCCGGGGTGAAAAAAGGGAGTCAAAATGATTTCTGCAGTTAGTGACATCAAATCTTTGGGTTCCTTTTTTCTGGACACCCCCTTGCAGATGCCGGAAGGTGGGATTAGGTTCGATCCAAGCGAGCGAGCCCTTTATCCAAGCAGCAATGATCTGTCAAGGGGTTCCTGCAAGGAATTCTGGGATTTCTAGTTTTTAACAAGGGGCATTTATTTTAAAAATAGGAGATGTGCAGCCAAAATGGTACTAATGCAATTAACTCAGTATTTGCAGAGGAAAATTTGCAAATTTTCTAAATCACTTGTGCAGCAGCCTTAATAGTAATAATTAAAAATGGGGGATAGAAAACAAAATTACATTATCAGTCCCAGCTCAGTTAAGAGTCTCGGAGTTGGGATGAATTTCTTTGTCTTCAGGGAGTCCTCGTCTTACAACCATTCATTTAGTGACCGAAGTTATAACACCAATGGAAAAAAGCGACTCACAAACGCTCCTCACACTTACAACGCTGGCAGCTTCCCTGCGGTCACGTAATCAAAATTCAGCTACGCTCAGCAATTGGCATATAGAGTTGGTCCTCGACTTACGACCACAAATGTGCCCAAAATTTCTATTGTTAAGTGAGGCGCTTGTTCAAGGAGTATTTTAGCCTGATTTTTATGACTTCCTTGCCACTGTTGTTAAGTGAATCACTGCACTTGTTAAGTGAGTAACCCGGTTGTTAAGTGAATCTCTGGCTTCCCCGTTTGACTTTGCTTGTCAGAAGGTCGCAAAAGGAGGTCACGTGACCCCCTGGGACACATCGTCATAAATACGAGTCAGTTGCCATCCATGGGGATGCTGCAAATGTTGTAACTGTGAAAAATGGTCATAAGTCACTTTTTCCAATTCAACGTTGTAACTTTGAATGGTCACTAAATGAACTGTTGTAAGTCGAGGACTACCTGTAGTTACAACGGTTACAGCCTTGTGAGAATCACATGATTTTCACTTGCAATTTTCTCAACTGGCTTCGGACAGTCAATGAGGGAAGCCAGATTTGCTTAACGACTTTGTGATTCACTCAACAACTGTGAGCGGCTCACTTAACAACCGCGGCAAGCAGTTTGGAAAATCGGGTGCGCCTCACTTGCTAAGCAATGGAAATTCTGGCCACAACTGTGGTCATAGGTTGAGGATTCCCTGTGCATTGCTGGGAAAATATCTTACGATTCCTTCTTCCCCAATGGTGAGATTTTTGGTAAAGATTAAAAACATTTCCTTTTAGCTGATCCTCAGTCTGTTTATTGAACAGCAGCTCCTGGTGGGAATAAGACTCAATCCGTTTGCAAGACAAAGTTGCACACTAGGATTAGCTTGAAAACTGTCATCTTAATACATCGTTACCTTCGTGCACAATCTTAAAAGCAAAATTGTCCGCTTATTTTTGGCTTTCTTGTAGCCGGATCTTTGGAAAACAGAGCAGTCTTCTGTTTCTAGGAGGTGGGGGCGACTGGGGGCTGCGTGACCTGGCCCACCGTCCCAGAAGCTGGGGAAGACATCACGTGGTCCTCTTTGGCATTGCTCGCTCATGTGCAAATCCACATATTTGCTGCCTGCCAACCACCCTCTCCCCACCTTTAGCGTCCGAGCCTCTGTCCCTCTGGGACAGACCCAAGGTAACCAACCCCCCCCCCCCTGGAAAGGACCCCGGTGTTTTGGCTCAAATGGCACCAAACGGGAGAGGTAGAAAAACACCATTTCGGGAGGGAGGCGAGGAAAACAGCCCTCATTGGACATGGGTCAATCACCGTTTCTCTATCCAAATCCCTTCTTTCCATTGGAGATAGTGCTTCACGGCCCTTCTAATCTGCCCGTCTGATCCTCAGCGGGTTGCCTTTAGTCCTGGGTGGTGTTCCAAAGCTCATCATTCTGAGCCAGGCATGAAGAACCTGAACCCAGAGCTCTGTTGCCTTCATCCAGCCCCTCCTCTCCTCCCCCCCCCACCTCTCTCTATATCCAGCTTTTGTTTTCCCTCTTATTGTTAATCAATTATCTGTCTCCGGAAAGAGAGAGACAATATTATCTTCTTGTTTTGCTTTTTGACTGACTCACTGTTTTATGCAGAGCAGACACAGTATCGATCTAATCGTAATTTTCTACTTCCACAAAGAGTGCTGGGCAATCTCTTGAGGCCTTCGTTTGGGGAGGGCATGAGTGACCAGGAATAAGACCGCAGGACAATATGATTTTCTCGTGCGGCGAGACAGAAGCAGAAATGTAATAGGATGAGCCGGAAAATAATTCCGATTTTCTTTCAATTGCAAGACCCTTTTTAAGTTTGTTTCCCCTTGGTTGCTTAAAACATGAATTTAGGAACAGCTCTGGAGGGGGGGAAAAGTCTTGTCTGGATACAAAAAAATCCCCAAACCATGCATTTAGGTTTCGTAGGGTATTTTGTTTCTGCCAAACCAAATCTTAAAAGCGAACCATGACACGAGAAAGCTTTGTTCTGAACCGATCCTGGCTGGGATCGGTTGGGCCGGATCCTTTACGTTCTCCTAAGAGAGAAAAACTCTGAATGCCCTAGGACCGCTGGCCCCCTTTCCCCTGTGCTCCCTAAAGATAATGGGGTTCACTCTTGCCTTCAAGGGCAGGAGAATGCGGAGTCTCTGCTGGGTCGCCAAAAATTGTTGCTGTCCTTCACTCCAGCAAGATGGCGTTTCTTGCTGCAAAGAATTCGGGTGGAGAGTCAACAGCCCCCTCCCCAAAACCGTGATGGGGATCAATTGACTGGAAGTTGCTTGCCACCCTCAGTGCCTTCAGAGGCCCCCTAAGTGGGGCTAACCATCATCTCGTTTTGTTACATCACAGTTTCTTCTTCTTTTTCCAACAAGGTGGCTGGCCGGTAGCCGTTGTAAAGTCCAGAGCTGTTGAGGTATTCCTCCTCTTTGCTGTAGTGCTCGGGCCCCGAAGACGCCAACGAGTTCTCCGAAATGGACCCGTTCCGGATGTAACCTGGCAAATTCCGGTGTCCGTTGAGGGTCCCCGGGGCCGGTTTGCCGTTGAGAGGGAGCGGCGTGCCCCCTTTGGCGGTGACGTTCGTGACACTGGTGTGGGACACCATGGGTCCGTAGCTGTAGGTAGTGCTCCCACTCCGTGCCTTTCTTCGGAAGTCCAGCGCTAATGTCCATCGGCTCCACGACTTCTTGATCTCAGCTTGGACCTGGGGTGGGGGAAAGAAAAGGATGGTTATTATGGGATGGGACTGGTGGAAAGTTCTGACCCAGAGCCGCTCAATGGAAGAGATTCCGGGACCACGTAAATTGGAGTTTGCAAAAGGATTTGGAAAGAACCTGAAGGGATCTCAGACGGTTACGTTAGAAGGTTGTGTGAGTCCTTTGGGGGATGGATGGGAAGGGGCTTTTGAAGTCATCGGGGCGGTTCGTGAGCATACCCCAAACCCCTTTTACAATGCCAACAGTCCTGGCAGTGTATCTTCTGAGCAAGCACAGTCCAAATGGTTTGTGAGTCCCCCATTAAGTAATTAGAATCTAAGGAACTGATCCATTAATCATCTGATTTCATTGGCAAGTGTCAGCATAGGACTATTCTGAAGAAAGGATGCCCTTCCTTCCTTCCTTCCTTCCTTCCTTCCTTCCTTCCTTCCTTCCTTCCTTCCTTCCACTTCCTCCCTCTCTTTCCTTCTCCCCTCCCTCATTTCCTCCCTCCCTTCCTTTCTCCCTTCCCTCTCTACCTCTCTTTCCACTTTCCTTCCCTTCCCTTCCAGATTTTCTTCCCCTCTCCTTCTGGTTTCCCTTTCTCCTTCCTTCCTTCCTTCCTTCCTTCCTTCCTTCCTTCCTTCCTTCCTTCCTTCCTTCCTTCCTCCCTTTTCCTTCCTTCTTTCCTTCCTTCCCTCCCACCTCCTCCCTCCTCCCTTCTCCTCTCCCTTATTTCCTCCCTCCCTCCCTTTCTCCCTTTCTTTCCACTTTCTCTTTCTTTCCTTTCCTTCCAAACTTCCCTTACTCTTTCCTTCCTTCCTTCCTTCCTTCCTTCCTTCTTCCTTCCTTCTTCCCTCCCTTCCACCTTCCTTTCTTCCTTTCTCCTTCCTTCATTTCCTTCCACCTCCCTCCCTCCCTCCCTCCCACCTCCCTTTCTCCCTTCTCTCATTTCCTCCCTCCCTCCCTCCCTTCTCTCCCTCCCTTTGTTCCTTCCCTTCCCTCCCTTCCCTTCTCCTCCTTCCCTTCCTCTGAACCAAGAGATTCTGGAGACTGGGATACTCACCTCCCCATTACAAAAGCAGTAGATAATTGCTACAAAAAATCCCTAGGAAGAAAATAAGGAATAAAATTGGTTTTGTTTGATTGATTTCATGAACAACATTTAGGCTGCTGTTTGAAGGCCCCATATGGCTTACCTAATCCATAATGGGCTGGGTAACTTGAGGTTAATATACAGGTAGTCTTTGACTTACAACAGTTCATTTAGTGATTATTCAAAGTTACAATGTCACTGGAAAAAGGGAGTTATGACCATTTGTCAAACTTACGACCGCTGCAGTATCCCCATGGCCACATGCTCAAAATCCAGTCGTTTGGCAACTGACTCCTATTTATGACGATTAAGGTTGCAACCTTCTGATGAGAAAAGTCAATAGGGAAGCCGGATTCACTTAACAACCATGCAACTGACTTAACAACTGCAGTGATTCACTTAACAAGGTGGCGAGAAAGGTCTAAAATGGGGCGAAACCTTTTCTGGGAGAATTATGGGGTGTTGCTGAGATTGAGCCGATGGTCCACAGCAATGAAATTTCAACAGAGTCCCATAAAATCTGAATTGACTTCAGAGAGGGATAATAATAATAATAATGTACATTAAAATTTAACAATTACTTTAATATCCGAATTTAATAAAAGCGATAATGATTAGGTTTTAATTTTTAACGTTCTATTTAATATTATTAATAATGAATTCTCCATAACTCTTGTAAAGAGTGGTCTTTTCTAGCTTGCAAGTTTGAACCCAGCAAGACTCTGACCGGGAGCCCCTGAGCTGGGTGGGGATTATGGGAGTTGAAGTCCAAGGCATGGATGGACATCATGGCTGGAAAAATAAACATTTTATTGCATTTTCACCACCACCCCTTCCTAAATCCTAAACGGGTATATTCTGAAGAAGGATCAGCGGTTGGACGAACCTGGAAGGAGTTAAACAGCATTTCATAGTGCATCTGAATTTGCCAGAGGATTCCGGAAACATCCGTGTATGGCATGGCCATAAAAACGATATAATGGACTCCGAATAATGGCATGAGGACCAGGGTGGATTTCAACAGTTTCCTGCAGGGAAAGAGAGAAAGAAAAAAAGATGATAAATAATAATAGATGGTGGAGAATATTTGTAGCTCAGGGATTAACTGTGGGGTCCTTGGTGCTCTCTGAGCTGAGTGGTTTTCTTGCAAAATGTTTCATGACCCAACTAGATAACTTCATCAGTGCTAGAAGGGAGAGGGATTTGAAGGGAGGAGGAGGAGGAGATGAAAAAGAAGTGGAGGAAGAGGAGGAGAAGGAGGACTGAGGGGTCCTTGCTGCTCTCTTAGCTTGCTTGCTTTCTTGCAGACGTTTCATGACCCCACTAAGTAACATCATCAATTCTGGAAGGGAGTTGGGTTTGCAGGGAGGAGGAGGAGATGGTGGTGGAGGAGAACTGTGATGTCCTTGGTGAAGGAAGGAAAGAAGGAAGGAAGGAGGGGGGAGGGAGGGAGGGAAGGAAGGAAGGAAGAAAGAAAGAAGGAAGGAAGGAAGGAGGGAGGGGGAGGGGGAGGAAGAAGGAGGAAGAGGGAGGGAGGAGGAAGGAGGAAGGGGGGGAGGAAGAAGGAGGAAGAGGGAGGGAGGGAGGAAGGAGGAAGAGGGGGGGGAGGAAGGAAGGGAGGAAGGAGGAGGGAGGGAGGGAAGGAAGGAAGGAAGGAAGGAAAGAAAGAAGGAAGGAAGGAAGGAGGGAGGGAGGGGAGGGGGGGAGGAAGGAAGGAGGAAGGGGGGGGGGGAGGAAGAAGGAGGAAGAGGGAGGGAGGGAGGAGGAGGAGAGGGGGGAGGAAGGAAGGGAGGAAGGAGGGAGGGAGGGAGGGAAGGAAGGAAGGAAGGAAAGAAAGAGGAAGGAAGGAAGGAGGGAGGGAGGGGGAGGGGGGAGGAAAGAAGGAGGAAGAGTGAGGGAGGGAGAAGGAGGGGAGGGGGGGAAGAAGGGAGAAAGGAAGGAGGAAGGGAGGGAGGGAAGGAAGGAAAGAGGAATGAGGAGGAAGGGGTAGGGGGGAGGAAGAGGAGGAAGAGGGAGGGAGGGAGGAAGGAGGAGGAGAAGGAGGAGAAGGAAGGAGAACCTTCCCACACAGGTTCCCAAGCAAGCAAAGTCAATGGGCAAAACTGGATTTGCTTAATAACATTTTTCACTTAATGACTTCAGCCATTCAGGCATTTCACAGGTGTAAAATCAGACACGGCTGGTTTAACAAGGGGAAATTCCAGCCCAAATTCTGGTCAAAAGTCCAGGGCTGCTCGTAAGTCTTTCTTCGCTCGTCCTCCTCTCCAAGAGAACACCTCGAGAACCCCAAACGGTGCAGAACGTGGCACATCGGCCACACTGGGGGTTGACGCTGGCAGAGGGAAAAAAGCTGAGTTTTTCAAACTGGCACAGTTCGCTTCGGAGTTCAGGGTGGGGAAAAGAAAGGGGGGGGAAAAATGTGAATTTGGAAAGCAAATATTTTAATTTAAAGCAGGCGAGACCAGCGGGGATGCTTGGCCTCGCTTTGCAAAACCTCAAAGTTTCGTTCTCAGCCTATCATTTCCTTCGAGATTTATTTCACCCTCTTGGAGGGTTGCTACGAATGTCGGTTTGGACGCAGCTGGGAGGTTGGAGGGTGTTTTTCCAGCCGGGACACCACGACAGTCGATGCCAGAGGAGGGGAGCCCTCCCCCCACCCCCACAGGCCTTGGTGCCCCCTTCGCTAATTGCCTCCAGATTCAGCCAGCCTTGGCCGAATCTGCCTCTTCCGCCTCCGTGTCGGCCTCGTTTGCAGCCAGAGGAGGCTCCCTCTGGGGCACAGCTGGCGAAAGGGGCCAGATGTGGTTGTCTGCATGCAGGATTTCACTTCTTTGGGGTCATCATGGGGCTGATTGACAGCTGTTGCATGGGTGCCTTTTCCTGGGGGAGGAAGAAGGAGGAAGAGGGAGGGAGGGAGGAAGGAGGAAGAGGGGGGAGGAAGGAAGGGAGGAAGGAGGGAGGGAGGGAGGGAAGGAAGGAAGGAAGGAAAGAAAGAAGGAAGGAAGGAAGGAGGGAGGGAGGGGGAGGGGGGAGGAAGAAGGAGGAAGAGTGAGGGAGGGAAGAAGGAGGGGGAGGGGGGAGGAAGAAGGAAGAAAGGAAGGAGGAAGGGAGGGAGGGAAGGAAGGAAAGAAGGAATGAGGAAGGGGTAGGGGGGAGGAAGAAGGAGGAAGAGGGAGGGAGGGAGGAAGGAGGAAGAAGGAAGGAGCAACCTTCCCACACAGGTTCCAGCAAGCAAAGTCAATGGGCAAAACTGGATTTGCTTAATAACATTTTTCACTTAATGACTTCAGCCATTCATGCATTTCACAGGTGTAAAATCAGACACGGCTGGTTTAACAAGGGGAAATTCCAGCCCAAATTCTGGTCAAAAGTCCAGGGCTGCTCGTAAGTCTTTTCTTCGCTCGTCCTCCTCTCCAAGAGAACTACCTCGAGAACCCCAAACGGTGCAGAACGTGGCACATCGGCCACACTGGGGGTTGACGCTGGCAGAGGGAAAAAAGCTGAGTTTTTCAAACTGGCACAGTTCGCTTCGGAGTTCAGGGTGGGGAAAAGAAAGGGGGGGAAAAATGTGAATTTGGAAAGCAAATATTTTAATTTAAAGCAGGCGAGACCAGCGGGGATGCTTGGCCTCGCTTTGCAAAACCTCAAAGTTTCGTTCTCAGCCTATCATTTCCTTCGAGATTTATTTCACCCTCTTGGAGGGTTGCTACGAATGTCGGTTTGGACGCAGCTGGGAGGTTGGAGGGTGTTTTTCCAGCCGGGACACCACGACAGTCGATGCCAGAGGAGGGGAGCCCTCCTCCCACCCCCACAGGCCTTGGTGCCCCCTTCGCTAATTGCCTCCAGATTCAGCCAGCCTTGGCCGAATCTGCCTCTTCCGCCTCCGTGTCGGCCTCGTTTGCAGCCAGAGGAGGCTCCCTCTGGGGCACAGCTGGCGAAGGGGGCCAGATGTGGTTGTCTGCATGCAGGATTTCACTTCTTTGGGGTCATCATGGGGCTGATTGACAGCTGTTGCATGGGTGCCTTTTCCTTCCACTTCTTTCCTCCCTCCTCTCTCCTTCCCTTTTCTTCCTCTCCTTTTCCTCTTCCTCCCTTTTTTCCTCCTCTTCCTCTTCACTTTCCTTCTTTCTACCCATTCATTCTCCTCCATTCTTCCCTCCCTTCCTTTCTTCTATTCCCATGTTCCTTTGCCTTCCCCTTCATCCCTATCTTATTCCTCCCTCCTATTCCCATTCCTTTCCCCTTCCTTCTTTCCTCCTTCCCGTCCTCCCTCCTTTCTCTTCCTGTTCCCCTTTTCCTTTCCTTTCCTTTCCTTTCCTTTCCTTTCCTTTCCTTTCCTTCTTTCCTTTCCTTTCCTTTCCTTTCCTTTCCTCTCCTCTCCTCTCCTTTCCCTTTCCCTTTCCCTTTCCTTTCCTTTCCTCTCCTTTCCCTTCCCTTTCCTTTCCTTTCCTTTCCTTTCCTTTCCTTTCCTTTCCTTTCCTCTCCTCTCCTCTCCTCTCCTCTCCTTTCCTTTCCCTTTCCCTTTCCTTTCCTTTCCTGCCCTGCCCTTCTTTCCTCTTTCCTCTTTCCTTTCCTTTCCTTTCCTTTCCTTCCCTTTCCCTTTTCCTGGCATTGGATAATGGGGCCCTCAGTTTTCTATGGGCTCTTCCTGAAACTGAATTCTCTTTTCTTTTCTCTCTGTTTTGTCACTCCATTCTGGCCGAAAGAAATCCCTCACGGAGAGGGAATAATCACTGCTTACCGATACTGTTGTCTGGTATCACATCTCCCGGCGTTTGTTTCTCGGAGTTTGGTTGCAAGAACTCTGATAATTTTGATAAACAGGATAAAGTTTGCCTGAAAGAGAAAAGGAAGGGAGGGAGGGGAAAGGGAAGGAGGAAAGAAAGAAGGAAGGAAGGAAGGAGAAGAAGAAAAAGGGAGGAAAAAAGAAAAGGAAGGGGAAAGAGGAGCGAAGGAGAATGGAGAAGGAGAAAGAGAAGCAGAAGAAGGACAAGAAAGAGGAGGAGAAGAGAAAAAGAAGAAAAAGGGAGTAAATAAGAAAAAAGAAGGAAGCAGAGAGAGGGAAAGGGAGGAAGGAAGGAGAGATAATTTAATACCAATAAAAGTGCCCCTTTGGGCAATTAGCATCTCCAAAACCTATACCACATTTTTAAATATATATATTTAAAATTACACACCTACTTCCTTTCCATTCCCACCTCCCATTGCAGCTAGGAAAAAAAAAATACAAATTGCAATTGAATCAAATCCACCCAGAGGGTTATTTGAGTGGGGGGGGGGGGGGGGAGGCCCACAAAAGCTTTAGGACCAAGACAAAAAAAATTCTTGTGGTGCGTGTGTCGCAAAAACCAGGGACATCGCTTGCTCCTTAACCAGGTTTGAGGTCTAACCACAGGCTATTCCAGTTATCCTGTCCCCCCCCCCCCCCCCCCCCCCCCCCCCCCCCCTTTATTGGACCACCCAGACATTTTGGAGGGCTGAGAATGTAGGAAGCTGGCCGGAGAAGACGGGTCAAGCGCCAAGCCTCTTTCCATTTACGGTTCACTGACCACAAAACAATGGTTTGCCCAGGAAGGACGTTGGTTTGTTTTGCTGAAAAAATTCTCAGGCTGGGAAGGCCGGCTCAGTTTTCCGCAAATGTTGTCATCCCTACATCCGAAGGAAGCCGAGATGGCTTCGATTTGAGGTCTGTGCAGACCCCCAAGGGATTGGGGTGGCTTCGTCCATGTCACGGGATTGACATGTGTGTGTGTGTGTGCGGACTTAATTGTGCCTTGCAGTCTGGGAAGAGATCGCGATTCTCTCCACCCGTTGTACGAATTTTGCTGGAAGTTTCCAAAATAAAGTGGATAATTTTATTTAACCAGGATGGCTAACCTTTCTGCCGTCGCGTGCCAAAAGCGGAGGGAGTGCGGGGGGGAGGGGGTGTGGGGGGGTCACGCACACGTATGCCCACACCCATAATTTTATGCATCCCGCCCCCCCCTGCGCGTGTATGTGTGATGCCCCTGCATTTCCCCCCGCTTTTGGCATGTGTTGGCCCGGTAGGCCTGTTTTTTGCCCTCCCCAGGCTCCAGAGGCTTTTTTGGATCCCGGGGAGGGCAAAAACAGCCTTCCCCCACCAGAGGCCCTCCGGAGGCCGGAAATGGCCCATTTGCCATTCTGGTGGGCCCAGAAGGCCTGAAAATCAGCTGGCTAGTGCGCACATGCACGCCAGAGCTAAGCTCACGTGCCCACCATCATGGGTATATAGGGAGTCCTCGACATACAACCATTCGTTTAGTGACTGAAGCGATCGTTTTTCACACTTATGGCCGCTGCAGTATCCCCAGGGTCACATCAAAATTCAGACGCTTGGCAACTGACTCATATTTATGACGGTTGCAATCCATCCTGGGGGTCCTTCTGACGATCAACG